GTTAGCCAGGGAACATCTCTGAACTCATCACCACTAAGTCCTACCTCCTGCATTATTCGACTTGAGCTTGCTGTTGTAGTATTGGTTTGTTCTCTTACAACAGTAATGGCTTGTTCTCTTGATATGAGGCTATCTTGAGTGAGACAACCATAGTAATGGCTTGTTCTCTTGATATGAGGTTATCTTGAGTGAGACAACCAAGGACTTCTTCATCATTTAAAAAAGGCTCTAATCCATGCAAATTTACAACAGAACCTGCCACCACCTTAAAAGCCCCCACAACAACATTTACTGAAGATGCCTTACTACCATTGTGGGGCCCAGATTTGCCTAATTGTTTTAATACCTCTACCTCATGTTTCACATTAACATCTATATATCCATGTTCAAAAAGTAGTTGGAACATGTCATTAACTGATTCATCAGACACTATTAAAACAAGTCCATTTTCAAGTTTCTTCCTTGGGTGGTTATACCGAACAAAATCACTCATTCCATCAATGTCAACATTTAAGCCTTGTAGTTTAGCTCTAAATCCAGTAACATCTATGTTACCATAGTCAAACCACATACTTTGAAAGGTACCTCCAACATACCTCAAATATGGATCTTTAACAAATTTGCTCCCAATGTGTAGATACATTCCTATTTGCATGGTTCCCATTACAGAAAATGCCTAAAGAATCAACACCAATTATCAGAAAATAACAAAAGAATTCATTCAAAATGCATTGTAATTTAATAAACTAATGGTTACCATTGACAATTGAGTCAACTAAGCCCAATTAAAAACCTAAACTAAGATTATTTTACTAATCTCCACAAATCTTGCATTAAATTAATTAACCACAAACATAAAAAACTCCATTTTTATTGTATACCTCTGAAGCCGTGCTCTGCTTTGTTACTGTTGATCTTGCCTTTTCGTCCCTTTTCCTTTTCCTTTTCCTTGTGTAGAGATTCTAAAACTCAAATCTCAAGTATGACTATAAAAGTTAAAAATTGTATTGAAGGTGTAGAAACTTGGGAATTTTTGGAGGCAAAATACATAGAAAATGGGGTTGAGTTCCCATTTGCAGGATCCACGTTGGGGAGATAACGGGAAGTCCAGGCTAAGGCAAAAAAATTCTGTGAGAGATGATATGGCAAGGGTGGAGCCCACAAGGTAAGGTGGTAAAAAATAAAAATAAAAAAGGGCCTAACCGGGTGTGATCGTTCGCACTTAACGGTCAATAAACAGGACCGTCAACTTACATTGGATAGAGGGATGACATTTGCATGTTTTTGGATTGTGGAGGGACGATAGGTAGAGTTAATTAATAGTAGAGGGATGACATGGAGCAAATCCATAGTAGAAGGTTTAGATTGCACTATTTTTTATAGTGAAGGGACGATTGATGGCATTAACCCTTTTTTTTTTAACATTGTATTTGAGAAAAAACCATTTTAATATTAAAAATATTAATAGATTTAATTATAACTATTAAATTTGTAAAATATAATCTACGATTTAATTTTATTAAATTTATTATGTGATTATTATTAAATATTTTAATATTTTTAATTTCATGATATTTTGATTTTTTTTCTTTTTTTATTGTATTTTTGAGTTAAAATAAATGAATATTAAAATAAAAAATAAAAATAAATTTTTTATTTAAATTTTATTTTTTAAAAAATTGTCTCAAATTTAATAATTATAGTAACTATCTATTAAATTTCGAGAACAAAATTCGATGCTAATATGCTTGACATTTACTTTGGGGAAAATTATAAATTTAAATGTGATCAAAATAAACAATTTAAATATATTTTTGGGAATTCCAAAAAATAAACATAAATTATATTAGAAAATATGGGCAATTGTTAAGAGGCAAAAACAAAAAATTGTTAAATCCAGGCAAGGTGGCACGGAAATACATGACGAACTTTCTTTAAAAATTTCTTTGATTTTTGTATATTATTATGTTTAATAATTTTTGGATTTTTTTAATCTGTGTTTTTAAACAAGTTAACAGTATATTAAATATATTTTTTATTATAAATATATAAAAAATATAGAAATTGATATTGATTTTAATATCAAATGAATTTAATTAGACAATTAATAAATCAAAAGTTAATTTTTATTTTTTAACACAAATTTATAACAAAAAATATATTTAATATACACTTAACTATATCCTTAAGGCACATAATAGACAAACTCATAATTTTGTCCTTATAATTTTAGCTTTCATGGTGGGGACCAATATTCCCCTATCTTTTTTACCCATTTCACTGGTATACTTATTACTACAACTCAAATTTAAAAACTTTTAATTTCTTATTTAATTTCAACTATTTTACTGTTACATATCTATGACTATCATTTAAATTTAAAATATTTTATGTTCCTATTAGCAAGAGAGGTTAAGTTGGTATTAATTATATTTTTTATTAATTTATATAAAAAATATAATAGTTAAACATTATTAACATGCTTTACTTGAACTATAAGTAAAATTAATGAAAAAGTATTTTGTGATCTAAATTAAATGAAAAATATATCTCTTAATATTAAAAATTTTCTTATTATTTATTGTTCTTATTTTACAATTTATTATAATTTAAATTATAAATTAATAAATTTAAAAATTAAAATTAATTTTCTTATAAGAATTAATAAGTAAAAAGTATAATAATATGTCAATTAATACATATATATATATATGCTTGAACCACGGGCAAAAACCCATAGGTTGCACTTCAACTTTTCGAGTTTAAGGTATTTTACCTGTTATCTTACAATATATGAGTTTTTATCCTCCAAGTTTTCAAATTTAAGAAAATGAGACGAAATTTAATGCTGAAAGATCATGTGCAGCGCCTACACCGTTGGCTTCCATAGTACATTCACATGTCAGCACTAACTTAAGCTTTTTTGACATGTTGGCAAGTTTAGCTTGAACCCCCTTGTAAGTGAGAATTCTACCATTGATAATTTTAACTTGTCGGCCTTATTTGTTGACTTATAATTAAAAAAAAAAAAAGTTGGATAAATGCAATTGATCTTGCACTCCAGAAAACTACAACAATAAAATCTACAGTAAAATTCACGAATAAAAAATCCAAAACCAATACCAAATGCATAAGTTGGAGTTGGTATTTATTCGAGATTTAATTGAAGATTTTAACAATCTTTATAATATAAAACAATAATAAAATATAATTGAGTTTGAATTTTATAATACTTATTAAGTATTTATTTAAAATTTTAAAGGACTTATTGGATATTTATTTAGTATTTATTAAAGATTTTTAAAGTTTTATTAGATATTTATTATGCATTTATTAAAGATTTTAATAATTTTTATAAGAGAAAAGTGCATATTAATATCGACTCTTAAAATAAATTAAAGTTCTAATCTTAAGTATATCATTTATTTAATTAAAACTTACTTCAAAATTTAAAAATCTATTATATTAAATATTGACATTTAAATTTGTAAAGTGATTATATTAGAATATATAGTTGGTTTTTAAATTTAGATATCAACATTTAATATAATAAATTTTTGACTTTTGAATTGAGATTTTAAATTTCAAATGTAAGTTAGAACTCCAATTTTTAAAAAAAATAGGATTGATACGCATTAAAGTACTCTTTTTATTATATAGTAAAGAAAAAGTACATATCAATCCGGACTCCTAAAAATAAATTGGAATTACAACCTTAATTAAACTACATTGTTTTATTTAATTAAAACTTAATTTAAAATTTAAAAAAATATTTTATTAAATGTTGATATTTAGATTTGATATTGATTATATTAGAATGTATAATTGGTTTTTAAATTTAAATATCAATATTTAATAGGGTGGATTTCCTAATTTTGAATTGGGATTTCATTTCGCAAATGTAGGTTGGGATTCTAATTTTTTTTAGTCGAAACTAATATACACTAATCTCATATAATAAAATATAATTGAGTTTAAATTTTAAAAAGTTATTGGATATTTATTTAAGATTTTAAAATATTCATTCAGCATTTATTTAATATTTATTAAAGATTTATTAAGAATTTATTGAAAATTTTCAAAGTCCATTGAATATATTTTTTTTGAACATAAAGTCTATTGAATATTTATTCGAGATATATTGAAGAATTTAATTATTTTTATGATATAGTGAGGAAAATAATAAGATAGTAAAGCAATTCTTAGGAGTGATATATAATATATAATTACTAAAGTTTAATTCCAAAATTAATTAGAATTTAAATTAAAATCTAGAAGTTGAATTAAAGTTTAGTAGTATATTATTTGAATTGAAATATTAGACCTTTGAGTTTGAGGTGGGGTTTAAACTCTTAAAAGAGTCTTATTTGGTATTTATTTGAGATTTTATGAATACCTTTAAAGGATTTATTGAAAATTTTAAAAGATCCATTAAGTATTTATTCAAGATTTATTAATAATTTAAAAAAATTTTATAATATAATAAGATTTTATAAGAAGTAATAAAATTTTAATTGTGAAAATATTTTGAATTTTTTATAATTTTAATTTTTAAATCTCTTTTTAAAAATTTTTAAATTTTTATAAAGAAATTTTTTTTTTCATCTGACTCCTTTTTTTTTTTTTAAAAAAATTATAAGTTAGTGAATAGAGCCCACAAGATAAAAGTATTAGTGGTAGAATTTCAATTTTAAAAGGATCTAAGCCGCACTTACCAACTTGTTAAAAAAGTTTGAGTTGGTGTTAACATGTGCATGAATGATAAAGTCCAACGGTGTACGTGTTGCATGTGATCCTTCAACGTTAAATATTGTCTCATTTGTCATTTTCCTAAACTCGAAAACTTAGAAGGTAAAAACTTATATATTGTAACATAAGGGTAAAATGCCTCAAACTGAAAAGTTGAAGGGCAAACTGTTGGTTTTTGCCGTGAACCGCACATGTAAAAAGACCCAAAGTAAGATTGCTATAAAAAAGAACAAAAATCAAATGATTTCGGAAAAAAGGGTCCCACGTTACGCAAGTTCAGTTCAATCCTAAGAAGATATGTATGTTATGTAATATGTAGGCTAGGCCGTCACGGAAACAGATAGGGCAGAAGACACATTTATGCCAAAAACATCTCAGCACCGCTGCTTTCCCTTCTCTTCTTCTTCTTCTTCTTCTTCTTCTTCTTCTTCACTTTTCTTCCTCTAATCTTCTCTTTCCTCCGCCAACCACCCCACTCCTCATCTCTCTCCGGTAAGATCCTTTTTCTCTGCTTGATTTCGTTCCTGCTTTTTGAGTGAATGTAATATGTAAGACCCCATTTGGCAGCTGAGAAATTTTTAACTAAGCGATTCTTAGCTTTTTTTATTATTATTATTATTATTTTTATAGATTGAGAGTGTAAGTTTGTTTCTTTGTGTTTTTATTTGATTCATCTGCAACTGAAAGGAGTGTTAGGGTTTTCTACAACTGATATTGGTAGCTGGTTGTTACTCTGTTTACTGATTAAGGGTTTCTTCTGTTTCATTGGGTTGACATGATTTGTGCTTGTACTGAATTTAGAATATAGATTGCAGCAAAAGGAAGTAGTTTTTCTTGTATATATATTATTATTATTATTTTTTTTTTTTTTCTGAATCCACCGTCTGTCATTTTGTACTGGTTAGAGTGCAAAGGGATTGTCTTTTTAAGGTCCTTACTGATGCTGATTAGGTAGTTAAAAAGAATTTTGGGTTTTTGAACTGAATTGGGAAACACTGGTTATTTGTTTGTTTTTTTTTTGCGCAAAAGTTGTTGAATTTGATTTTGTTTTGAATAATGAGATTGGTTTTTGTGGGGTTTGTAACAGGTTGTTTCAAAAATGGCAGAACCCTCTAAGGTTATTCATGTGCGCAATGTGGGGCATGAAATTTCTGAAGTATATTCTCTTTCTCTCTCAAATGCATGCCCGTGCACAGCCACATGTGCATGTGCTATCTTGCGATTAAAGTTCATACCGTTCATAGCAATACTGCTAAGCATAGCTCGGTGGTAGTTGATATGTTTATGACTGGCTAAGATTTTTATGCTTATATCTAATGGGGTAGAAAACAGTGAACTTTGTTTGGTTGAAACGAGAAGTTGAAAATTTTAATGCAAATTTAATGTTCCATTGGAAGGAAAATGGTTGTTTGGTATACTTGGCAAGTAGGGATCTGTTATTTTAATATGATTTGAGAAACGTCAATATGAGTTTGCGAATAAATGTATGATAATCCACTGATTCCTTCAAATATGAGAAAAGAGTACAAATCTAGCATATGGGAAAAAGAAAAGTGAAATGTCTCAAATTGGAACTCGTTTGTTTTTTCTATTTCTGTACATCACACTTTGTTTTCGTTGTAATTGGAATATCTAGTAATGTCTTGAGAATAAGTATAGAAATCGTTAGCATTCTTTCATAAAGTAGAAAACAACCTAAATTGGAATCTAACCTCTCCCTGAAAGGAAAGGAAAGGAAAGGAATGATGGACAAAGGGAAAGCCTTTAGTCATATATATGGTTATAGCTACTGTGGAGGAGATATTACCTTTCCCATTAAGGTGGCGAACATTGCTTTTTTCTGTACAGTATATTCTTTTTGTGTATGTATACGTCATCTGACGTGCTGTTTTTATCAGAATGATTTGCTTCAACTGTTCCAGCCATTTGGGGTAATAACCAAGCTTGTAATGCTCCGTGCTAAGAATCAGGTACTTGATGCTTTTGTCAAATGTACATGCTGCTATTTAGGCTAGAACACTCAATGAAACATATACTGAATGTGCTTAATTGTGTTTGGCTTGGGTCAGGCTCTTCTCCAGATGCAAGATGTTCCTTCAGCGATAAATGCTCTTCAGTTTTATGCAAATGTTCAGCCAACTATAAGGTATACGGATTTTGTATGTGCAAGATTGCAAAAAGCGCTACGCAATGGTGGCGGTTGCCCAAAGCCTAGAGCCTGGAGTGCCTAAGCATTTTTTTTTTATAATTAAATAATTATTTTGATATAATTCTAAGAAACTAAGAAAAAAATGCAAAACAATTTTAAAAATTACAAAATAAAAAGAAAAATTAAACATTTTTCTATCCATTATCATGTATGAAAAGCAGAATTTGGGGGAATTACTTGGCATTTAGGGTGTTTTTGAATATATTTTTTATAATAAATTAAACGACATCGTTTCATTAGGCTGACAAAAAAAAATTTGCCCAGGCACTTTAGGTGCCATAAAGCGCCCCTTATGGTGTCTAGGCGCACTTAATCAATCTGGGTGGTGCAAACCATGATGAACTTCCACCTAGAGGCCAATGTGCGGTGGAATGGCACCGCTGCCTAGGTGCTGCCTGGGCACACTTTTTACAACCTTGTGTCTGTGTCTCTATTTGGATACCGTGGTGAAGATGGTGCTTGTTTTTGTACTTCTTTTTTTTTTATTATTATTATTTTTTGTAATGAAATGGATTGTTTGTATCCCAGGGGGAGGAATGTTTATGTCCAATTCTCATCTCATCAGGAACTAACAACAATGGATCAAAATTCTCAAGCACGAGGAGATGAGGTTGGTATTTAATTTACAAAGCAGTAAATACAAAATTAATCATTGTTGCTCTTCATGGAAACAAGAAAAAGTTTGTGGTATCACTTGATTGGGGATTTCTATTGTCTTTTCATGGTGGATGGGCGGGCACTTGTCTATTTGAAAATTGTTTTGTATGGAAGTCACATGTCTTTCTTAATTAACCTAGGGAATAGAGAGTGAAAGCTAGTTGATTACTTTCTGGCTATAATGGTGATCAGGTGTGGGGTTAATAATCCACCTCTTGTAGTTGAGATGTGATAACTGGGGCTCCTTTATGATGATTTTCTCAGTAACATTTGAGTGGATCTCATTTTGATATATGCAAATCTGTCTTTTGTCTTTGCTTATGTCGTTTGAGAGAATTGTGCTCACTATATAGCATTGATTTTTTATTCTAGTAGCTATATTTCATAATGATGTAATTTCATGTTTCAAAAGGCATTTTCTTCTTTCCAGAGGTATTAACTGAAAGTTGAAAAAGTTGTGTGTGTGTGTTTTTTTTTTTTTCTTTTGTGTATAAATTGTGGAACAAGTAATTTCTAAAGCAAAGTTCTAGAAAGTACTGAAAGTCAAATTTGCATTTTCAGTTATTGAGTTACTAGGTAACTTATTCAGTTGTGGGTTTTTTGTTTCAATACCTTGTCATTTCAACCTCAGACACACGAGTTACTCATTTCTACTGCAACTTTTGTTGCTTTCCATTTTTTCAAACTTTGGAGGTGCATGCAATCTAAGACTATAGTTTTACTGTAGCATATAACTAACATATATATACAGAGATGTGAAGTGACTATATTATTCTACAACTTTATTATTCCTCACACACTTAATTTTTCTATCACTAGTTTTTTTTTTTTTTTTACTACCACTCTCATGATGTTTAAAATGGCTACTATTTGTTGCATGTCCAATGCTTATTTCTTCTATTTTTAGATCTTCTTCTCGCTATTTTTTTTAATTCTCTTCTCTCTATCTATGCTTCTCCATTTATGCTCTTCTCTCTCTTCTGTCTCTATGCTGGTCTGCCATTGGGATATGCTGGATGTACAGCCGAATCGTATTCTTCTAGTAACAATCCATCACATGCTATATCCTATAACAGTGGAAGTGCTCTATCAAGTTTTTTCACCTCATGGAATTGTGGAGAAGATTGTCACATTTCAGAAGTCCGCTGGTCAGCTTCTTCAAGTTTTCTTTCTCAATCTCTCTTTTTTCTGAAAGCTACCTCTTCAGCTCTTGAAAAATAAACTGATGGATTTGATATTTTTGATGGAAGGGATCCCTTTTGTTATGTTTAGTTTCATGACCACACTCATTAAGTAATTTTAAATTTTTTCAATTTCTATTTTTACATTTTCTAATGTATGTACATGAATAGCATGTTTTAAAAGTTTGGTGTCTCAGCTTTGTATCAACATGTTATTTTACAAAGGTGTTCCCTCTTCATTCTTGTTCACACAAAATGTATAGGTTTTCAAGCCCTAATTCAGTATCAACTTCACCAGAGTGCTGTGTCAGCAAGAACTGCTCTTCAGGTATTATTCAATTGTTCGTGACTTCATGTTTGAAGGCTTGTTTGGCAATTTGTTTTTTCAAAAGGGTTGGACATCCTGTTGTTTTACAGGGTCGTAATATTTATGATGGCTGCTGTCAGCTGGACATTCAGTATTCTAAGTAGGTTTCAACAATTAAAAATTATGTTGTGATTTGTGTTTGTAGACATGTGAGCATGAAAGGTCTTTCTTTTTTCTTTTCTAATTTACATATTTGGTTTTTAATATGTTATATTTTGTAGCCTTGATGAGTTACAAGTCCACTACAATAATGACCGGTCCAGGTACTGTCCTAGCCATTGTATTCACAGTGAAGTCTCTTTAGTATCATGCTGACATTATAAGTTACGTGCTGTTTACAATTATATTTTCTTCCTTGCTTAGGGACTTCACAAACCCAAATCTTCCAACAGAACAGAAAGGCAGGCCATCACAAGTATGTTCAGTTGACTTTTCTCTCCTGTTAAGTTTATTGAGCCTATATCCTTTTGGTTCATACTCTCTTTTCCCCTTTGATTTTTATTTTGTTTTTTTATATGTTTTGGTGCAGCATCCTGGGTATGGTGATGTAGGAGGTATGTTATATGTCCTAGCTCATGGAGCCAGTGCAAGTGCTTAATTGGCAAGATGTCATTTTGTTTTTCTTTGTCGTTTTGCTCATTGTATGATTTCCTTGTTTGTTAACTGACATGCATTTTTTTTTTTTTCTTTTTTTTTGTGTTCCAGTTGGATTTCCACAGGTGGGTTATTGCTCGAATCATGGTATAAGCATATATGAGAAGATTCTTTATGTGCATTGGGGGTGGGGGGGGGGGGGGGGGGGGGTGGGGTGGTTTTTTAATATTATCACCTTCATCTATTTTTTTAAGAAAAGGAAGGATATCTATTGACTTACAGCTATTGTTTCTCAAATCCTTGTTTATAAATGAATTTGACAAACATCTACAGCGTTGTCTAATTCAACATTTCAGTGTCTTTAATCATGTGAATTGTCTGGAAAAACATCTTAAATTGTCTTTGTTCAGTCATAGACGTTAAGATGCTCTTCCACATGTGATAATGATATTTTTTCCCATGAAAACTAGATGGCTAATGCAGCTGCAATTGCGGCTGCCTTTGGAGGAGGTTTGCCTCCTGGAATAACCGGGACGAATGAGAGATGTACTGTGCTCGCCTCCAATTTAAATCCTGATGTAAGTCAACCCAACTGCATCTTTTTTTCTTTTGTTTTTATTTGAAGTTGAAAATTATGCCAGTCTTTAGCCACCTTCAAGCTTGACAAAATATCCTTTGTTTCAGAGCATAAGTGAGGATAAGCTTTTCAACCTGTTCTCACTCTATGGGAACATCGTAAGAATTAAACTTCTACGCAATAAGCCAGATCATGCTCTTGTGCAGATGGGAGATGGCTTCCAGGCTGAACTGGCAGTACACTTTTTGAAGGTATAGGTCATAGAACCTGTGACAGAGTTCTGGAAATATTGTCTTTGGTTACTGATTAACAATGAAAAATAATGAATGTGAATGTTTATTTTATTATATAAGTAACTCACTGGTGTATTGTCTTGAATACAAATATTTCTGATTAGGAGTTGTATTTTTTTAGACATGTTCTGTTGTTGGTTTTGATTGTTTCCATTTCGTTCTGTCTTCTTCTTGGTCTAGGTGATAGATATATCAGGCAGAACTGCCCAGAATTATGCTCCCAATATAATAAAAGAATATATAAACAAGTTTGTGCATTATGGTAGTAGAATATATTGTATTCTTGTTAGTAGCAACTTTAAAAGCTTTAGATTATGTTTGGCATTCTACATCCAATCAAGAGTATTGTACATGATATTTGCATATTTTTAATCAATACCTTTCTCTTAGGTACTCATGTATTCTGAAATTTATGATTTAGGGGGCCATTCTATTTGGAAAGCCTTTGGAAGTCAACTTCTCCAAACATGCAACTATAACTCAAGGAGCTGACACACATGAGTATGCGAACTCAAATCTCAATCGCTTTAACCGCAATGCTGCAAAGAACTACCGATATTGTTGTTCTCCAACTAAGATGATTCATCTTTCCACTTTACCTCAAGATGTCACTGAGGAGGAAATTGTGAATCACCTGGAGGAACATGGCCCCATTGTCAGTACCAAGCTCTTCGAGATGAATGGTAAGAATCAGGCTCTCATTCTTTTTGAAACTGAAGAGCAGGCCACTGAAGCGCTCGTGTGTAAGCATGCCAGCTCACTTGGTGGGTCCATCATCCGCATTTCATTCTCTCAGCTACAGTCAATAAGAGAGAACTCGCAGTAATAGGCTAACCGAATGGAACTGCAATCGTGTACTAGGATTACAGATTCATTGTTTCCCAGGATATTTATATGGGTGATGGGTAATCTTTGGTCTCTAGTTTTCATAATTTCATGTGACGCTGGTTTAATTGCTTTGACACTGTTTGAAACTAATATTTTATTTTATTTTGTCATCTTGGCAACTCCTAGTTCTTGTATCATGTTTTTTAGGCTCCTTAAGAGAGACAAGGTAGGTATTTGCTTTGCTGATCTGATCAGTTTTGACGATGAGGTGGAGAAAAATGCTCTCTCAGTATTGTACTGCATAGTTCTTGTAATCAGGGATCGTTCACTCTTTTCCCTAATATATGTGTATTCCTGGACCTATTGAGATGAGTTCTTGTTTGGTTGCTTCTGCTTATCTCCTCCTCCCTCCCTGCCTCCCAGTTCCTTCTCTTCTGCTTCTCTTTATTTCACGCTGGCATGCTGTTGCTGTTTTCGAACAATGCCGAGAAAAGTTTGTTGCAGGGTATATAAAATTTCTGTGTTTGCTGCATTGCTACGCAATGTATGGTACATTGGATGATCTATGCAATATCAAACTTGAAAAGTTTAGCATAGATATAAACCCTCTTAACCAACTTGGGCTTCCTCACGAGAAACAATGTAGAATGTTTTGAAGCCTCAATGGAACTGCAAGTGGAAGACTTTTATAACAATTGTCTTCTGTCTGTTAACTGCAGAGGGCTGTTTGGTTGGCAGTATTCAGAGAAGCTGGAAGAACACATCATAAAATTGCAAACGGATTTGAGCCGTTAAATTTCTATCATCTTCCCTCGTTGGTCCGAAGGGTCCAGAGATGCTTGTAATGGCACTTCCAAGATGGAAGCTTTATTCATTTTCTGACCTTAACTAACCCGAATTCCTTGTTCATGGATTCAAACATTATTCGATTATCGTCTCCGATTACACTCAAACACACCCTTTCAGGCAAAACCGTCCACCTCCATTCTCTCCCCACAAAACCATTCAATTTCAGGCTGCACTGCAGCAAGAGTAGCAGCAGCGGCGGCGTCTCTTTCGATGGATCCGCTTTTGAGGCCGAGAGGCTGAGGCTGGATGCCAGGGCACGGCAAACAATGGCAGAGACTTCTAGAAGAGAGATTGAAACGGGTCAAGAAGATGATAACCCGAAAGCATGGAAATGGGTAATACGGAAGAGGATTTGGGATTTGATGGAGGCCCGGAATATAGCTCAGAATCCCAGACCAGTTCACCACCGGATTCCCAACTTCGTTGGTGCTGCAGCTGCTGCAAAAAATGTACCGACTTTTTCTCCTATTGGGTTGCCGGGATTTTCAATTGGAAAATTTGCTGATTTTGTTGGTAAATTTCGAATCTTTTTCCTGTTTTGCAGTTGGGTGGGTTGGAGGTGTTTCGTGAAGCGGATTGTGTGAAGGTGAACCCAGATTCACCTCAAAAGCAAGTCAGGTTTCTAACACTTTCTGGTTAGTTATTTAGAATTGGTAAGATTTTTATGGTTATAAAAGCCAATGCAATTATCTTGATGTCTTTCTTTAGTGGAGTAGAATATCATTTTTGATTTCATGTACCAGCAGTCTGTCCCCAAGACCAATGTTAATTTTGAACCTACGGCAACCTTTTTCTTTCTCTTTAACCTGATTGTGTAACCATAATCTTACAGGTGGGAAGAAGTTGCTAACACCTCAGCCTCGTCTGAGAACAGGATTTTTCTCTGTACTTGAATCCAATATGCTTTCTCCTAATAACATCGATGAGGCATGCACTTCTGTAGGGGTGGCCAAGTATGGAAGGCCAATTGGGTTGGATGAAAAGATCAAGGTGGATATAATTGTCATTGGCTCAGTTGCTGTAGACCCAAAGACAGGAGCTCGACTTGGCAAGGGAGAGGTAAGATCCATCTTTCTGCATTCTGATCATATCCATTTGTTGGTGATGCTTTAAAGCTCAGTGCAGAGGTAGCTACACATGGAAGCTTTTAGTATTTTGCATTCTCATATTGACTTCATGAATGATGTTTGGTTGCTCAGTCAACTTTATCAGGTTTAAAGGCTCATCACCCAGAAAAATAAGTTGCATTTTTCACTGCTGCTTTTCTTAACTGCTGATGAGGCAGTGTCTTTAGGAAGGTGTTGACCTCATATTTGACAAGTACTAATTTGGGATGTAGGGATTTGCTGAACTTGAATATGGAATGCTGCGGTATATGGGAGCTATAGATGACTCTACACCAGTTGTCACATCAGGTAAGTGATCTCTCTCTCTAGATAAGTTTTCTCTTGTATACACCACGTTCCTGATT